AAAGAATGCTATTGTTTAAGAAGTTACGTTGCTAACGTCAGAAAAAAGAAAACAGATTGATCTTTGCTGTCGAGCAGGCACTCCTGTCTTTGAGCAGCTCTGGTTAATGTGTAATGCTGATGCCCGCTGCACATTAGGGAGGGAGGAGGCCCAAATGGACACAGAGAGAATTTTATGTTTAATTTTTTCTTGTCCTGTTTTAACAGATAAATTTTATTTCATCAGTTTGGACAGAGAGAGTTTGTAATGGATGGGGTCATCCAAGTGGAGCTGTCTGAGAGGTAGTTGGTTGTATAGGTCTGAGAGCCCAGGAGAAACATCTGGGCTGGAGACCTAAATCTAGGAATCTAGAACATAATAGAAGCAGTAAGAATGAATAAAAATCACCAAGAACAGTCGTTAGATAAGAAGAAGGTGTGTTTAAGAACCCGGAGCAACAGACAGAGCAAGAAAGAAGGAAAAGAGGAACTTCCAGAGCGGTGGGAGGAGACCAGAGTCTTGTGCCAAAACCCAAGGAGAGGGAGCAAAAGGAGTGAGAACGTGGCTAGTGAATGAATGTGGCTGAAGTTCATGGAGAAGATGACCTGAGTCTGGTCAACTAGGTCAAGCAGCAGGGGCATCTTGGGCACTTGGCAAGAGGCCTTTCAGCAGTGTGGGAGGAGAGGAACCCTGCGTGGAGGGAGAAATGGCATGCACCAAAGGCAAGGCAGTGGGGCAGTGACATTTCTTTTCTCTCTTAATCAGTTTGGGTAAAAGTGTGTGTGGAGGGGAGGTCAACGATTCACTGGTTATAAACAAGAGACTTGGCATCTTGGCTAAAATTTAGTTTCATTCTCTGTGCTGAGAGGTGGGTGGAGAGAGAAGGTCCTCTTCATTTGTCCTGGACCTATCTGATGAGAATCAGTTATGAATTACAGAAGATGTTCCTCAAAAGGCTCTCTTGCATAAAGCAGGGTACATCCACATAACAAATCACTCTGAAGACATGAAAAAGAATGGAGAAGTTTTCTTATACAGATACAGGTTGTTCTCTAGGATATATTGTTAGGTGTGAAACCACACAGGATCCTGTGGGGCTCCTGGGCATGGAAGCTTTTCTGTGTCCCCCATTTCTCGTTTGTAGGTAATAGACTCCAGCCTCCATGACCTTCCCTGAGTCCTGAAGGGCAGATTCAAACAGTTGCTAATCAGGGAAGGAAGGGGATGCAGAGACAGGGGAGGAACAGTCAAGAAACAATAGTGCAGCCTTGGGGCAGGTCCTGGTTCCACCACAACGGATACACAGAACAATAGCTTTGAGCTCTTCTCCAGAACTGAAACCCCCAACAAACGGAAGATGTTAGCATTCTTCATTCCAGAGAAGGTCACAGTTTGATAACCTTGAGGAGCTCCTCAGGAGACCACCTGAGGCCAGATTAAAGGAGTACAGGCCCTGCACACACCCTGATCCTCATCAGCAACCCCACCCTTGAACCATTGCTATGAAACTCACCAAATTCCACCAGGTTGGGACACACAGTTTTGCGAGACATAAGCCCACTGTGTCCCCCTTTGCCTGGCAAAACAATAAAGCTATTCTTTTCTACTTCACCCCAAACTCTGTCTCTGAGATTTGATTTAGCACTAGTGCACAGAGGACGAGGTTTTGGCATCAGGTGAGAAACACAAGGTGTAGAATGATGTTTATGGTATGCTACTCCTTGTGTAGATATACATATTTACTTGTGTTTTCAAAAAGAAAGACTAGAAGAATACACAAAACTAATAGTGGTGGTCCTCCAAGGATAGCAGTGTAGGACACGAGGTAGAAGATTTCCATGAATATATTTAGTATATAGTTTTATTTTGGAACCATGCACATGTTTTACATAGTTTAACAAAAGAAATAAAAGTAAGATAAAAAGCAGTTCCTAAAAACTGAAAACAATTGACCCTACCCCTATCAAGGTAAAGAAGAACCACACAGAAAACATACTTCCTTGGTGTGACTTTCAACACAATGTTTTGAATCCATGTCTCTAGGAAAATTCTTCTAAGGATCAATAGCAGATCAAATAATTCTTAAACTCCATTCAGCACTCTTCTTGTCAGTAGTAATATTAATATTGTTAATATGAGACTATTATAAGTTATTAATGTAAAACAAATACATAATTATTGGACTGTCATTAGAAATTAAGATTTCTAGTATAAAAGAGATACAGCATAAAATCAAAGAAGTTAAATCAAAACCTTCTAATATTAAATTTGAATGGGATATATCAGAATGGCCTTATGATTTTTTTTCTCTTAAAAAGTATTTCCTGGTTCTGTCCATCAAAAGGGCCAAGAAACAATGACATCCAGATTGTGGTTTCTAATACAACTTCCCTGTAAAAGGAATCAGGTTTTTTTTGGGAAAAAAAAAGACTGACTCATGGTCTGAAGCAGAAAATGTGCAAGATTTTCACCCTGTTGTGTCAGAAAGCAAAGAGGCTGTTGTAGGCGCCATGGGGCAGAGTAAGGATATAGGACTAGCAATCCAGGTGGCAAATGGCTTACTAGAAAACTCTAGACTGGAACTTGACTCCTGTTTTTAGTTCTAGCTCTCGACTTTGGGCAAGATGCTTAATCTCTCTGAGACTAGGTCTCCATGAAATTTATTTTTCATTAGTAAGATGAAGATAAACACCCTTTCCTTTTCCTCAACTCAGGGCTATTGCCATCCCATAAGACTACCTTTGCATAAAATAGAAAATTTCCCCTTCTTCCTGGCCTCTTAGCTAGGTGCCCTTGGGAACACAATATCACTAACATTTATTATCTCACAGTTTCTCTAAGAATCCACATACAGCTTAGCTGAGTGTCTCTGGCTCAGTGTCTCTCATAAGGCTGCAGTCAAGGTGGTGGCTTGTGTCTCATCTGAGGGCTTGATTGGGGGTGGATCCACGCCCAAGCTCACTCAGTGGTTGAGGGCTGGATTCATGTCTGTATATGTTACTGCTTCACCAGAGGGAAACAGAACCAGTAGGATGTGTCTACGCCTATGTCCTTGTCCAAGTCCATGTTCACATCCACACCTGCATTCACACCTGCACCCACATCTCTATCTATCTAGATCTATATATTGCAAGGACCTGGCTTATGTAATTGTGGGGTCTGACTAGGTTAGTCTGAAATCCATACGGCAGGCTGTGAGGAAGGCAGGTGAAATCTTTTGGGCAGAAGCTGATGCTATAATCCACATCCTCAGGGAAATCTTGGTTCTGTTTTTAAGGGCTTTCAGTGAATTGAATCAGACCCAGATTATCTAGGAAAATCTCTTTTGCAAAAAGTCAACTGATTCTAGATGTCAATCACATCTACAAAATATCTTCACAGCAACACCAAGATGTGTGTTTAATTTAATGGCTGGGTACTGTAGCCTGGCCCGGTTGGCACATAAAACTGACCATCACAAATTCCTCGAGAGCTGCCAGCCAGCGGGTGTCCTCACTTCCTTGCCTTGTGGGCCTCTCCATAGGGCAGCTCACAGCACAGCAGCTGGCTTCCTCGGAGCAAGGGAGTGAGAAGAGCCAGGGAGAATGTCCGAGCAAGACAGAAGTTGCAGCCTTTTGTAACCTGACCTCTGAAGTGACATCTTGTCACTTCTGTTGTATTCTGTTTGTTAGAAGCAAAATATGTAGGTTCAGCCCACACTCAAGGGGAGGGGATGACCCAAGGGTGTGAGTAGGAGTCTGCAACCATAGGGGCCCTCCTCAGTAAATGCTGGGAAGAGTAAGTGAGATAATGTGTGTGAAAGAATTGTGTAATCCAGTAGATAAATATTAGCTAGAACCATATAAAATTGCTAGGATTAGGTTGTTCATTTTTTACCCACAAAAATGGCTGTCACCTAACGTAAGTTGTAGTTAAATAGGGAACTGATAGGGTGTAAAACAACTTTATAATTTTTGAGGGGGCCAGGCATGAATGGAATCTTGGATAAATGGCGGTGAGGGGTAGAGAGAGAGAAGCAGTGTCAATTTTACTAGGTTTGCATTTGGCTTGTTCCTCTCTCTCTCTCACTCTCTCTCTCTATTATTTGTATCATCAATCAATCTCTCTATCTCTCTATCTATCATCTATCATCTACTACCTATCTATCATCTATCTATCTATCTATCTATCTATCTATCTATCTATCATCTACTATCTATCTATCATCCATCTTCTATCTGTCTATCTGCCATCTACTATCTATCTATCTAGCTATCATCTATCTATATCTATCCCTATATCATTGTCTACTGATTGATCTATCTTCCTATCTATCATCTATTTATTATGTATTTTGACTGATCAGCTGCTGGGATTGATTTGGGCATATTTAAAATGCAACCCAAGGCTAGCGCTTTGCAAAGGTTTTGTCTGCACCTTGAGCAATGAGTTTGTTGTGAACTAAGGGAGTGGCCACAGCATACGCCTCTGAAGCATCCATCCACAGTGGATTCTTTTCTCTCCTTTCATTTTCTTTTCTTCTTCCGTGTTTTCTCTTTCTGATCCATTTGGCACCAAAGGCAATAGACTTCCCAGCCCTTTGTGGATGAGAGAAAAAGAGTAGGTCCTCTGTAACCCTAAAGGTATAACTTTTAAAGTGATAAACCATAGTTAGCTTATCATCCTGAGGCCACCCTCAACGACACACAAGTCCTGTAGAAACAGATATGTGTGTTATTTCTATATTATTCTACAGATAGAAATATTTATCTAGAGAAATAAAAAAATAAGCAAAGAAACAAAAGTGCACACGGAGCAACTTTCCACCCGGAGGAAATGTGTATCTCTTCTGTCATCAATGATCCTGAATTGGGTTTCTGCCGCTGCCAACTGACACTTTTATACTAAATTGTATTTTTTTTAAAGGGGTGTGGTCAGAGGAAAGAAAATTCACACCAGTTTGAAATAAAGTAGGGCAAGTCAACATACTTCTACCCATTTTCTTTGAGTGCAATTCTTTTGTTCCTCTGTTTCTTTCATAGTTTTTAATGGGCATCATCCTCAGATTCAAAGACCAGATGTGCTTTCTTATCATCCAAGATGAGCTGTTATTAATGGAAGAGAAGAAAATCAGCAGTGTGGATTTTTTTTTTTTTTTTTTTTTTTTTTTTTTTTTTTTTT